GGCTGAAAACAATTGCAATTAGTCATTTTTCTAAAAAAAACAACTAAGAATTTTTAGTAAATTTTTCTCATATTATAGTTTAAGTTCTAATGCGGGAAAAAGCCTACTGACCCTGACTTACTAACTCCCTAAAATACCAAATATAGCCCTGTAAAGGAAAACCAATTAACCTGAACCAACCCTAACAAAACTTAATCACTTATTTTTTCCTTTCTCTCTCTTTTTTATTTATCATTATTATTAACTAACGAAAAAAAATTATGTTTGCCCGCCAAAAAGAAGTTCCCCGTGCAACTATCGCTCGTTCTTTACCGACTGAACTAAAAAAAGCCTATAACCTAGTGGCTGCTGACTTACTGCAAACCTTCCTGCAAATGGAAGATGGCGAAAGTGTTCGTCTGGGTGATTTAGGAGCCTTCCAAAAAAAGGAACAAAAACTCCGAGCTAGCTGAGATGGTCAGGCTTATGTTTATTATCGCATTTCTTTTCGAGTGTTTAGTAAATTAAAAACTGAATTAAATCAGCAATTAATCAAAAAATATGCTAACTAAAAAATGAGATAAAAGATATTTATTGTTAATCATTGCAGCTGTCTGTGTCATTCTTTACTTTTATGGTCAACATACCAAAAATTATGATTACTTAAAATATTTACCAGTAGTGGGTGGACTAGCCTTTGCCCTGGATAATTTTATTAAATTAGCCCAATAATTAAACTCTTATGCCTCTTTTTCAAGAAAATAAACAAAATACTCAACAGCAAAATAATACCCAAGCCCAGAATAGCCAAACTCAAAATCAAACTAACACCCAATCGGCTCAAACCCAGAATCAGCCAGAGCAAACCAAATCGCAATCTGGACTAATGACTATTATCGGGCAATGCTTACCGTTTGCCCCCTTAGTGTTCGAACAGTTCACTGGTCAAAAAGTTCCTGCTATCAGTGGCACCATGGCCGAAATCCAATTAGCCCTCTCCCAAATTCAAGTCAGCCAACAGCAATTATTAACCAGCCAACAGCAATTAACCCAGAGAATTACCAATTTAGAAGTTAATGCTTCGCAACAATTAACTAATTTAAGCCAACAATTTCAATCTTTACGCTTAACTCATACCCGCGAAAGAAAAGAAATTGAATATAATAATCCTAATACTATCAAAGAAACCGAAGAATATTAACCATTATGTTTAATGTCAATCTGGAACCCTTAATTGAGCAAATCAAAATCTTTACCCAAGCCCAACAAGAAACTAATGCCTTGTTAAAACAAAATAACCTCGAACTTAGCCAAATTAAAGAATTATTAAAACAAAAAAAAATAATATGCCCAATATTGAAAATTTAGAAAGAAATAAATTCACCAATAAATTTACTAAACCTACTATCCAAGCTCACCGGGAAGAAATCCTCTATCGGGAAGATATCAAAACCTCCTTTGGTTATGCCATTGCGGGCCTGACTATCTCGCTGGCTATTGCGGGTGGAGTCTATGTCATCGGTAAACAATTACTCAAATAAAAATACTATGAATAACGAAACTAAAAGCACTTGAAAATCTTACGTCGACTGATGACCAACTTATCTGGTTCTGGGAATAAGTTTAGCTTATTTTGTTGACCAAACTGGAATTGTCCCCAAACTAACTAACAAAATGTTTAAAAAAGAGAGCGAATAAAACCCGCTTTCTAACTAACTCTCATTATGAACTCCCTAACTCTGACCTCAAAAAAAGAAATATTCGAATATTTATTTAACTTGCTTAGTGCTAACACTTGTTCTTGTCATGTTCTTAATCCTGATAAAACCCGTATTCTGTCCTGAAAAAGTAAAAATAACACGCTAATTTTAAAAGTTGCTGACCAAAAATTTATCGGTCTGCCCCGTTCGGATAAAAATGGGGAACTGTATTGAAAATATCGGGAATTAGCCGAGAATGAACCAGAATTAGAAAATAATAGAATAGACACTGAACCAAGCCCGCAGGAAAAACCCGAACCAGATAATAACCAGCCCGAACCTGACTCAATTAGGAAGTTTCAGCA